GAAGGTATATGCTATTATATATAATTATCTAGTCATGATGATAATGAACTACTGATCTATTATGTTCGTTATGAGACATATGTCAAAATAGAGATAATAAAGGAGATTTTCTAAAACCTCAGGCAAGTAGATGTAATATTTTCTTCCAGCACCCGGTAGGTTGTGGTTTTTCACAGGGAGTACTTGAATATGTGGGAATTTCAGCATCCTGTAGGGGAATTGATAAAACAGTGGTGCAGATCTCCAGCAATCACCGATGTTTCTCAACTGGTATGAAACAAGCTGCTCAAAGTGTGTATGCATTATTTGTAACAGAATGTTTTCCCTAGTAGCCAATGGAAACTTTTTTTTTCTTTAGGTAAAGATTGAAAGGCCTGAAATTTAGAAAAGAAACACCCTTGTAATAAGTCGCAAAACTGTTTTGGCTTGCACATCCTCTGCTGGAAATAATGAACAATCGCTTTTATCTTATGTTATGTTTTCAGTTACTGAAGAGTTAATCCCTTCAGTTATATTCTTATACTTGCTTCCATTTTCCTGCTTCTTTTATCTACCCTTATCCTACTTTTGATTACTGCTTTTATCCCTCTAATTTTCATGTTACTCTTTGACCACTGACAGTTTGATTTTCTGGACCAGTGTATAATATAACCTTTATTCCATTTAATATCTATGATTTTCTCTTATTACTCAAATACACATGACACTTTGTATTTCTGTGTCTGTACATTCTGTACATACTAACTCTAATTTTATTCTGTATACTTTGGGGAATATAATAATGGGAATCTACCAAATCACATTGCTTTTTCGGGTGCTGTGATAATGGAGTTTAAAAACTGCTCGACATTTTCTGTGACTATAGTATCTGTCATGATGACTGATTTCTAGTACACAAATATAATTAAGTTAAGGAATTTTCTTTGAAAGGTACTATAATTGAGAGATGTCATAGTACAGGCAAAGCATTAATAAGCACTAATAACATGAATTCTCTAATTATGCTTTACTTGCCATAGTCCTTTTTAAACTATTAATGTTAGGTTGGTGCAAAAGTAATTACGGTTTTGCACTGTGAATTTTAAATCATTATAACTAGGCTCAAACACATCTTTGTTAATCAAAATAAGAACCATTGCAATCAACATATTTTTGCCAAGGAGAAATAAGTTTGTTTATTCCCGTAGTGTAAAAGTCTGTGCTTCGGGATTAGCATTTTCTGTATCCTGCTGGTTGCGGAGGCATTTTTCCTGCAAAAAGTTATCGAGATGTTTGAAGAACTAGCAGCTGGTCAGCAACAGGTCAGGTGGATATGGCGGATGAAGCAAAACTTCGCAGCCCAATTCGTTTGACTTTGAAGCTTTGGTTGTACGACCTGTGGTCAGGCCTTGTCCTGGAGAAGAATTGGGCCCTTTCTGTTGACCAATGCCATCTGCCGGCATTGCAGTTTTTGGTGCATCTCTTCAATTTGCTGAGCATACTTCTCAGATGTCGTGGTTTCACTGGGATTCAGATCAGACTGGCAGCAAACCACCACACAGTGACCATGACCTTTTTTTTTTTAAGATGGAGTCTCACACTGTCACCCAGGCTGGAGTGCAGTGGCGTGATCTTGGCTCACTGAAATCTCTGCCTCCTGGGTTCAAGCAATTCTCCTGCCTCAGCCTCCCAAGTAGCGGGGACTACAGGTGTGTGCCACCACGCCTAGCTAATATTTTTTTTGTATTTTTAGTAGAGATGGGGTTTCACCATCTTGGCCAGGATAGTCTCCATCTCCTGACCTCATGATCCTCCCACCTTGGCCTCCCAGAGTGCTGGGATTACAGGCGTGAGCCACCACTCCTGACCGACCATGACCTTTTTATTTGGTGCAAGTTTGGCTTGGGAAGTCTTTGGAGCTTCTTCCCGGTCCAACCACTGAGCTGGTCGTCACTGGTTGTCATATAAAATCCATCTTTCATTGCCTGCCACAATCCGATTGAGAAATGGTTCGTTGTTATTGCTTAGAATAAGAGAAGAGGACACTTTAAATTATGACTTTTTAAGTTTGCATTCAGCTCATGAGGCACTCACCTATCAAGCTTTTTTACCTTTCCAATTTGCTTCAAATGCCAAACAACCATAGAATGGTTGAAGTTGAGTTTTTTTGGCAGCTTCCCATGTAGTTGTAGCAGGATCAACTTCAATGACTGCTCTCAATTGATCGTTGTCAATTTCCAATGGCCAGGCAGTAGGCTTCTCATCTTCAAGGCTCCTGTTTCTTTTGCAAAACTTCTTGAACCACGACTGCACTGTGTGTTGATTAGCAGTTCCTGGGCCAAATGTGTTGTTGATGTGGCAGGTTGTCTTTGCTGCTTTACAACCCATTTTGAACTCAAATAAGAAAATTGCTCAAATTTGCTTTTTGTCTAACATCATTTCTGTAGTCTAAAATAAACATAAAATAAACAGCAAGTAATAAGCAAAAAACATAAAGTAAGAAATGTCCATTAAAATGATGTATAACATAACCACATTTATTTAATGTATTCCAATATCAAATGGCAAATTCCCACAAAGCAAAAACTGCAACTACTTTTGCACTCACATGTAATATCCTGAGGCATCTTAAATCCTTTAAAGAAGTAGGTTCCTGCACCACCGCACCCTAGCTTGGGTGACAGAGCGAGACTCTGTCTGAAGAAAGAAAAAAAAAAAAAGTCCTGGAAGGATCACACTGCAGTGTCAGGGGGTAATGTAAGGTTTGTGCCGTCTCTCTGGTTCAAACACCTCTGACAAAAGTGCTAAACTGAGCCACCACACCTGGCCTCAACAGCCTCTTGATTGGTCTCCCTGACTTCTGTTGTTCCTCACCCCTCACTCAATAACCCTAAAAAAAAAGAAGTAGGTTCCATATAATAATAACTATTTATATACCTAACATTTATTAAAAACTATGTATTAACTATTGTGCTAAATATATAAATTATCTCATTTAGTTATCATAACAATGAAATAGATAGAAAATCAAGACTAGAATATAGGCCTGTTTGACTTAAAGGCCACCTGGTAGACCATGAGGCTACATTGCCTCTGATGTTCAGTATTCACTGTTCCAAAATAATCACTTGACAAATGCGGGATAAAGTTTTATTTGTAATAACATTTAATATAACATATCTTGAAACTAAGAAACAATCCTAATGTATATAACAGTATCAGTTATGTATCATCTTTTAAAAGAATTTGGTATGCCTTAGTAACGTACTGCTCACCAGGCAATTTTTGAATATTTATTCATTTATTTAAGACAGTCTCGCTCTGTCACCCAGGCTGGAGTGCAGTGGCACAATTTCCGCTCACTGCAGCCTTGACTTCCTGAGCTCAATGATCCTCCCACCTCAGCCTCCTGAGTAGCTTTGATTTCATGCTCACGCCACTATGGCTGGTTAATTTTTGCATTTTTTGTAAAGTCAGCGTCTCACCATGTTGCCCAGGCTGGTCTCAAAACTCCTGGGCTCAAGGGAGCTGGCCACCTCATCCTTCCAAAGTATTGGGTTGACAGGTGTGAGCCACCACACTCAGCTGAATTTTTATTTAGAATTTGCCAGTTATTTCTCTAATTTGACATAGGACTAAATATGAATCAATCTGGGACCAGTTCCTGTAAGGTCTAGATTACAAAGGAAACAAAACAAGACATAGAATTGTGAGGCTGCTGCCAAGTACTAAAGTTCATCAGTAAGGAAAAGAATAAAACATCAAATTAATAAACACAATGAGCTGGGTGCAGTGGCTCATGCCTGTAATCCCAGAACTTTGTTAGACTGAGGTGGGCAGATCACATGAGGTCAGGAGTTCAAGACCAGCCTGGCCAACAGACAAAACACTGCCTCTAATGAAAATACAAAACTTTGCTGGGGGCAGTGGTGCATGTCAGTAATCTCAGCTACCTGGGAGTCTGAGGCATCACTTGAACATGGGAGGCAGAGGTTGCAGTGAGCCAATGTTGTGCCACTGCACTCCAACCTGGGTGATAGAGTGAGACTCTGTGTCAAAACAAAACAAAAAAAGGTAGAAATAAATTAATAAGTATTATGTCAGAAATAACATTAGAAAATTTATGACCTGTTCTTAAAAGCTTTTGACTTTTTGGAAATACAAAATTTTGACTATTTCATATTGGTTTGTGGTCAAATTATTCAGTCTGTTAAATGTGAACGTATCACATATATGTATTATTTACTTCCCTAAACATATGATCATTTTTACGATGCATCAAATTAGTTTACAGCAATTGAAAATTTGTCAATACTACTAATGTAGTAAAGTTGACACATCATGATGTGTTACCCTGTCGTCTCACATTTTCAGACTTGTTTCTTTGAGTGCAGAATTTTAAGCACTGTGCAAAAACAAAATATGCCAATGATTATGCAGGTATTCCATATGATATATATAGTATTTATTTAAAAAGATGTATTAAAATTGGTTCATTGAAAATTATTTTCTCAAATTTCAAAGCCTGATATAATCATCAGTCTACATTTCTCAGATGTTTGTATCATTCAATTAATTTTTAGTATCTCTCTGACATGTGGATGAGCCTATAAAAATATAAAAGGTTATATTTCCTCTTCTATGTTTTAATAGCTTCTATTTATAGATGGTATTTATTTATACAGATACGTTTAATGAAATACATTTCTAGCTCAGAAACTTTTCCACTATTGTAATTAGCTCTATTATTTATAGAACTCTTTCATCTTATTAACTCAATTTCAGAATGCTTGATTAGAGTATATGGATTGTTTCTGGTGTCAAGTTACAGCTTTACAAATTATTAGTGAAGAAATTATTTTTAACACCTTATTGGGAACTTTAAATTGTAAATTATTGTCAACAATTATTCTTAGCATTCTAAAAGTTTTCTAGAAGTTTTTTAAACAAGGAATTGTATTCAGTGAAATTTCAAAAAGAAAATGTTTCAAAATTTTATAAAAATGTTTTGTGTATTGCAGCTATCAAAGCAGAAAAACATAATAAAAGACAAAAGGAAAGAAATGTCACCACACAGGTAAATATTTTGCTAAATCTTTATGTTTTTTAATAGAAAATTCAGGCTATATGCACTATTTTTATTCAGGATACTCAGAATTACTTAAAGTGGTAATTATTAACTATTGTCTGTTATTTTTTTAAATTCTTAATCAATATTATTCTTTCATTAATTCAACAAACTTAGTCAACTGCGAGAAGATAAGACTGTCATCAGGCCTGAGTCTTCTAAGTTGTGGACTGTCTGATGTCATAAATATCAGGTTGATGCAAAAGTAATCGAGGTTTTTGCCATTATTGTCAATGGCAAAAACCACGATTATTTTTGCAAAATATTAAGACACAAAGGGCAGAGACCAGCCTGGTTTATGAAGTCACAGATGCTTATTAAACTTTACCCACCTTATGATGTCTTTGCACATGTTGGAAGTAGGGGATTCAAATTTTCAATTTATTCTCAACCCAGCAATGATTTACTCCTATAAAGTAAGTCATTTCAAATAAAGCAGTGATTTTCCATTTCACACTGAGTGAAACCCAGTTACAATGGCTTGCTCATTGGGCTCCGTGGTGTGGCCCTAGTTTTTTTCTCTATCAGCTCCTGCTACTATCTCCCCGATATCATTCCAGACACACTGGACTCCATGCTATTCCTCAGAAACCCCAGGCAAGTTCCCCCCATTCCTGTGCTCTCTACTTGGAAAGTCTTTGCACCCAGATGTACATAGGGCTCCCTTCTTTCACCTTCATCTTTCAGAGGGTCCTTCCCTGAACCTTCTCTAAATTTACAATCACTCTCTCTAAAATTGCAAATCCTGTCAAACACCTTCTTCTATCCCCCTTCCCTGTGTATTTTTCCCATGTAATATACAGTATTTTATTATATTTGTTGTCACTTTCCCTCCATTAGAGTACAAACTCCATGAGAGCAGGGGTTTTTGTTTATGGTGTTCATTGCTGTTGTCCTCAGACACTACAGCAGTTTATTGAATTAATGTTTTATTATTAATAAATGTTTATTGAATTAATGAGTAAAGCTTAAATCCAAATGGAGGAAGTAAACTGTGAAAAATATTGATATAAATTTAAAACCCCTCTGTACATTGCAACCTTTTCTAAACTCCTCTGAATATAGCTCTTCTCATCACTATAACTACCACATCCCATAATTAGCAGTGGGATTATTATTAGCAGAAATAGATGTGAGCTTCACCTAAATCTCAGTTGTCTTCAGGCAAGTGGAGAATGAAGGAACATCCATTTCATCAGGTCATTTTGCTTTCTCTCATGGGTTCTTGGCATCTTGCCAGTCAGTGCCTGCTGACTAACACAGGAAATGTCTTTTGGAATTCTCTTACTGCTTGAGAACAAGGATGTCACTCAGACCCATAAGCATCTACCCAATGCCCAGCATTAGAAGATGAGGCCTCCAGAGTAAAGATGAGAATGGACCCTTCCAACCTTGTAAAGCCTAGGACAAAAGAAAACTAAGAACTATTCTAAGATATTTCAGAATATTGGAAAGTAAAACAAAACACAAAACAAAACAAAACACTACCTTTGTGTCAAAGATTAGGGGTAAATGTTCTAGGGTAGCCTGTTTGTAAATTGTGTATCTTACTCGATTCCATTGGCCCAAGCACAGATGGCAGAAATGAAAAGACCGAAGGCTGCAAATACCTCTACCGCAAGGTTTCCATAAATGCATGCTAAACTACAACCAGAATAGAGTATCCTCAGCTCACTGAACTTACCATAGTGTTTCATGATGCCTTGGCAATCAGCAGGATACTATTTGGCTGAAAGCACCCTCTCTCCATCTCTACCCCTAATGTAGGCTTGGCAAATTCTGGTTATCTTCCATAATAACTATCATTTACATTATAATTTAAAACACACACTCACCTCACCTAAGTAGAGCTGCTCTTTCCATAGTTTTTCTCTCTTTCTGGCTTTACAACTTCGCAACTTGCAAAAGAAAAATTTTTTTAAATCATCTACTTCTCCATTCCCTGACAAAAACTTTTTGAAAACACACACAGAGACATGAAAAAAAAATGTTTAAGGATAATTTGTATTGTGTTAAATATCTAATATTTTCAGGAGTTCTGTGTGCTATTTCCTTCCACATCAAAGAATGATCCTGATTACAGAGGTAATAAACCCACAGGTATTTAATGTACTATCGGGACGTAACTGAGGCCCCCTAAGGGAGCAACTCAAGTGTATGGCTGACAGACTACTATTGTAGGATTTTCTCCTTAGTTCAGCTAAAAACAGGGTCCTTGTCACATGACCATGAAAAATTAGGCTTGCAGACACTTTGAAGGGTGAGAAGGGCAGGGTTTATTGGGTGAAAAGGAAAAAAAGGGGGAAACAGGGACTTTCAGCAAAGTGAGAGAGTGTGCTTTTTGCCAGTGGGCTCACAAATTAAATCCAGGTTACCAACCCTGGAATAGGAGAGGCCAGGCTCCTCCTCCCTGCAAACAATAAGAACTTCCTGAGGCTCCACCCCATTCACCCAGTATGCAGCCCAGTTGGAGTTTCTCCAGGGACCCTTTTACACTTGACTGTCTCATTCCCCCATCTGCAGAGTACATCTAACAGCTATTAGAATAAGGATAAGGACTAAGACCAATCTTAACTGCTTCCTGCTGACAGGAGGCGCTGTCTGGGGAACAGCAGTTGGCGCTCCCTCAGAGGGTCCTTGGCAGAAAGGGCTATCCTCCAAGGCTTCAGTTGCATGGCTATTTGGAGTCTGATGGCCAGAAGGTGAGAAGAGACAAACCAGGTTATTAGAAAACATGTATCAAAATAAGAAAAAAAGGATGGGCAAGGACACAAAAAAATCCCAAGGCCTTTTACCAGTTTGCACAGGTAGAGGGGGGCCAAAAGCCTGACTGGTAAAAACAAAACAAATCAAAACAAAAATCTTTTACTCTTTTGCCAGCATATCAAGTTTCTGGATTCCCTTCCCCTGAGCTCAATCCTAAGCCAAACAGTCTCAGGTTTGGGAAATTAACCTCCTCTCCCAGTTTGGAGGATGCGTCTGACGGGAATGTCCTGTAGTACAGAGACACAATTACTTATCAGTTAAGAGAGGACAGAGGAGGAGAAAAAGAAGGCTTAAAAAAAAAAAAAGAAGTCCCGGGGTTCAGGATGCATTCAAAAGGGGTGCAGACTGAAAAGGAGTGGCTACCCATCTAGAAAGAGGGGAGCAGGCATCCCTGGTTCCCTTCTCTTTTTAGCATATACCTGGGGGAATGTGAGAGAGAGAAGAAAGAGCATCCTTTTTCCCTCTTCTGTCCTTGCATCCTCAAGTCCCAGTGACCTTGGCAAGTGCTACCCATAAGTGCCAAAGTAGCTTGCACCCATAAAGCAGGGAGGGCCTAGATAATAGGAATTAGCTGCTCTCACCTATGTCTCTATCCCACCTGCCATCAGTAGCCTTGGAGTTCCCTAGATCTCGTTTTTGCCATAGTTACTAACATGACCCTTATCCATGAAATGAGAGGCGTGGCTTAATTGGCAGGAATTAGCCCTGCTTACCTGCACTGTCTTTTAACCTCTGTTGTTGTCTGCCTCTGGATTCCTTAGATCCGGTTTTCTTTCCTAGGGCTTGAACTGAAGCTTGAAAGTGAGTTTAGGAGAAAAATGTGTCTTGGGAGGGGTGCATGGACTCCTTATCAGAAACCAAATGCTGAGGTGAAGCTGTGGAATTGAATCCTCCTCCAACAAGGGAGAGAAAAGGATGTCTGTGACATGCCCAGATAACTGGTGGCTATAGTTATGCTTGCTAAGATTTGAGTGCAAGGTGCTTGGCTTTGGTTAGCTCCCTTGGTCTTCCTTTCCCAAAAAGGAAACCTCTGCATGATGAGCATCCTGTTTATTACCATCACCTGGCAGGATTTGCAGGATTATTGCTCAGAACTAGAATATTGATTCCGATTTTTACATTACCTTTTGTTCAATCTGAGCTGCAGCTAGAGATTGCTGGTTGACAGGAATAATTAGGGTTAGTCTAAAAATATAAACAAAAACTTAAAAACAACTAATGAGTTTAAATTTAATGACAAATGTATACGTTTTAAAATATAATTTCTTTCTCTCCAGTCCTCATTTTTATTTAAAAAAATCATGATAGGACTGAGTTCTTTGCAAAATAGACTTTAGTTTTATCCTTAGCCTCATTATTTGCATAAAGTGTAGCAAGAATAACTATTTCTACATAAGCCTTTCAGATTTGATGGAACTCTGTTCCACAAGGAATCTCAGATAAGACCTTTTAAATCTGAACCCCACCATGGGTTTGTATCCTCAAATACCTGTGAGTTGTGTAATCCTCTCCTCTTAAGGTCCCAAGATAAACTTGGGGCTCCTGGGCCTGTTAGAAAGTGTCATTCTTTAGTGACCACAGGTCAGAAACCCTCTACAGGGACTGCATAGATGAGAGTATGAGGCTAGTTTTTTTTCTCAAAGGGGCTTTTATCAGCTCTGCAAGTCAAGCTTGGCTCCATAAAGGGAAGCGTATCCTTTCAGTCAAAGCCTTGACAAAACAACCAGTTTCTCCAATTGCATCCTGTTGCAAAAGATTCTTATTGCTCTGATGCAAATAACTATATTGCCATAAGTTAAAAATACTCATAGATCATTTTCAAATTCTAGATAAACTAGGCAGAAAGACAAAACATGCTCCAAATTTTGCTCACAGAAGTATACCTTACTCAATTATTAAAGGCCATAAATAGTTCAAAATAAGTTTTCTTGACCCTGAAAAACAAAACAAGGATTAGCAACAGCAAGCCTGTGGCTGAATCAGATGCACTGCAAGCAGCTTTTGTTGTGGGTCCCTGCCTCTGGATGAAAGGAACGCAGTGGTGCCTGGAAGCTTGGAGATACCAGAAACCACAGAGCCCCCTAGAGGGTGTCACAGACCTGGCTTGGGAGGCCCTAGGTCTGAGCTCCTGGAAAGGCTGCAGCTCTTCTTTTCTTCCCATTGCCTGAAGTGTGGGGGCATGT